CCGAAGCATTCAGACTGTTGTTTGGAATTTTACTGTCGAGATTGCAAGCAAGCTATTTGTATGAAATGTCAGATGACAAGACACAGGGATCATACGACATCGGATTTAATCGAAGTTTGGTTGGAAGCAGCCTGGGAGCTAAAAGGGATCGACGTGTTTTTTGAAGACAGGATCACCCAGCTCGAGGAGAATATTCGGCGTTGATTAGTGATAACATTTTAAAGATCCAATCGTATGCAGTCAAATCCTGTCAAAGGGTTGATCAACAGGTTCAGAAGGCTTGCAAGGCTGTTCAAAACGCGGGAGAGCATCTTAAAATCCAATTACATATTGCACTTGATGCCGAGGAGGAAAAGATGAAGAAATTGCTGAAAGATACGGAAGACCTGATCAAAGCGATGAGAATTAATCTCGAATCTGCTGCCGAGGTGGTACTAACTGAACAAATAGTGGAAGCTGTGGAAAGTTACCCGGCGTTTAGTTCACGACTGGAAGAAATCAACTTGGTGGAGATCGACATACCCGAATTAAGCTGTATTTCGTTCAAAGAAAATAAAATCAACATGCCGCAACTTGGAACCATCATTGTTAACCCAGCCGTTACTTTTCATCATAACTTCTTTCTGAACCAGTTCAAGAAAAAGGGGGGAAGCAATCAAATAGGAAGTAGATACATAAAAAAGACGGTTTAGTTTGGTATTTAACAGTGGAGAAAGAATTAACGGGAATGTCTTTTGGTCTTGGCTTAGCCAATGAAGACATCAAATCTCTCACTTGTAAATACACACTGACGCTGACTAACAAACGTCACACGAACTCCGTTAAAATGGGTGGAAATGTTCAATTTAACAAAGAGCACGCGGCGATATATGTCTCACATACCGACATCACGTGGGCGCAGCTGTGTGACCCTCAACAAGGCTTTGTCGATTCAAGGAAGCGATTCACCGTAAAGGCTTCTGTGTCGGTTAGAAATGTGCAGAAATAACACTGGTTGCTAATCCGAATCCACAATATACTCGAAAGGAAATAAAAGGTACCAAACAGAACCAACAGGACTACCGAAGGTTTTAATAAACGTTTTGTCAAGACCAAGAAAAAGATTTAAATCAGTTTAACATATTATAAGACCACCGCTAGAAAAGAAAACAGGAATCAAAAGAACCAGAAGCACCTGCTGGTGGTTTTAAAGGTTTCGTGAAGATCGAGGTAATAACCCACAGCAGTAGGCGAAAACGACTGGCCCCCGGATCTATTTACTTGGTCTGATATACGTTTGTTGTTTATTGTATGAGATGTCTGTGTGTCCTGTCCGTAGGTTTGTCTTGTGTATTCATGGACCTTATATTAAGGTCTGTGGTGTAATTGTTTATATGTGGTGCGGTCCTCCGGCACTTACTAATGTTTGAAATGTCTGTGTATATTGTGTGTCCTGTCCGTGGGTTTGTCTTGTCTATTTTGTTTATGGGTGGTGCGGTCTTCCTGCACTTACTAATGCTATTAGATAATATTATAATTGCCAATATTAAAAGTATGCTTGCTATAAAAATTATTTAAATATTATTTCATTGTATTTATTTTTTCTTCATTTATTATGAAATTTCGTCAACAATCAGGTGTCCTAATCTTTTATACATCTCACCCACCTTTATGAAATCTGGGGGTGGCCTTAAGAAATAGATTTAGTCCTGGGCGCTATGAATCTTTGCAACGCCATAGGTCCATATACATGTAAAGCTGCATATTCCTGACGCGATGGCCCGAGAAATCCCTCTCTGGCCATTGCTGGATTGGCTTCTGATACTTGAGCTTTTGAGGGAGTGTGTCTATTCTTCCCGTTCAATCAAATCTATCCCAAGTACAGCAACATGACAGCCCTTCGCTTAATTTGGGGTCTTCCCTAAAACTTTGGACAGTGATTTAAGGTATTAAAACGGTGGTAGTATTGTTCCACTCCAAACAGTATTGTTTATATTATATCCGTTTTGATAGCCTCGTTTGTCACGCAATTAGTTTTTCTGCAATATTCTGCTATGCATAATAAAATCGTGAGTCATGACGTAGCGTTATGTAAACACATTTGGTCAAATTTGGAGCTCTGTTTAAAGCATTATGATATTGTTACGCAGTTAGCTATTGGTTGTTAATCTGACTATTGACAAGTCATAATTTCGAACAGAAATTATCCTTCGTTACAGCAGTGTTAAGTGGGATAAACTCTAATCAAACGAAACACTGCGAGGAGTTTGGTAAATCTGAAAAGGTAGCGCAATAAATTGAAATGAAATGAAATGGAGTTTAATTAACGTCCTACTTTTCTACACCAACTGGGCTAATAAAGACAGGCATACAGTGTGCTTTGAGGGAAAGTTTCATATTCATATTCCACCTGTCACAGAGTCATTTACGTGCACGCTAATGTGTACATGGAATATTCGAACGACTAGACACTGTCCTCGTCAGGCCTTCGATCCTGCACCACTGACAAAGGGAAACCACGGAACTTTCTTCTCGGTCAACACCTAGCGCGAACCCGAGACCTCCTGGTTACAGTGCAGTTGTCTTGAGTCAGCAGTTAGGACTCTAAGATTGGGCGGGGGGGGGGGGGGTCAAGTGACATAATTAGTATAATGGGCTTGTGGACTGCTTACGTGTCGTTTCGAGACATTAAATCACATAATGAAACTACCCGGAGAAAACACACGAGGCTGGCCAGGCGACCCTACTCCTTGTCACGTACAAGCGAGGAATCAAAACCCCGCCAGCTGACTCCATGACAGACATTATGATCTTAACGCCCCCTGTTCCTTCCACTGCTAAAGAACCTAACGCACATGCGAATTATTGAAATAAAATTGAACCATATGTTAGTCCCGAAATAAACTATGTTTTGGACGTTAAACCCAATTTTATATTGTGATATATTTATATGAGTTATCGTATGCTTATTATACATGGTCCCCGGAGGCTTTACTCTTCAATCGGTAAATGTGATCATCCCGAGAGCCACCTTCAATACAAGGCTTGATCTCGCTTTAACTACGTACATCTTATCAAGGCCTTCGTGTTATACCCTGCATAGTTCCGCACTAATATCGATTGGGTATTCACCTAGTTTGTGAGCCTATCAGATGCCCCGATCGTCGCGAATACCAAGTCTCGCGCTTTCCAGCTAAAATGTCTACCTGTGTTTTCGAGTTGAAAAGTTCAAGGTTCGTTCAATTTTAAGGTTTCCATGGAGGTCGCTCTGTCACAACCTCTGATTGGACGCTACTGTTCACGTGTCTGCAGATAACGTAGCTATAAGTTCGGAAATTGTAACGTAATCTAGCAACAGCCAGATGTTGTAAAACTCGCAGTCGTTCCTTCGGGAGCATGCCGGAGAGCTAAATGACACTGAGAGTTAATCATAGGCGTAGGAGCCGGGGGGGGGGGGGGCAGGGGGGGCAGGGGGGGGGGCATTTTACTTTTCTTGTAATTGAATATCACGAATTTGTACTGAATTGACTATGGATTAAAACATTTTGTCTGGAGCCACTCTACTTTGTGCGACATTTTTCAGGCATCGATTATTATTTGTGAATGCAGATGCAACAGTCTGATAGGATGGTTAGAATTCAGAGTGGGATTTCAGTTAAAAAACCATTGGATACTTTTGGAGTTGCTTACACGGGCTAGAATAGCAGAAAACGCATTTACGGTGATTAAATTTTCAAATTTTTCACCGGGAGGGTGAGGCCTCCATATACCGCGCGACGATTGATTGGTTGTTTGGAATTCGGGTCAGCCAGGTAGGCTATATTGGACCAAATGAAGTTGCTGTATTCACATACTGGAATAACAGGAAAACGCGTTTGCGGCAGTTACATTTTCAAAATTTTCTCCTTCTCCCAACGGTCCCGTCTTCGTTGACTGTAAACGATTGATTGGAATTCGAGTCAGCCACCTTAATAAGGCTATAATATATATTCGACCACTTTGAAGTTGCTTTGTTCACCGGCTGAAATAGCAGGAAAACGCGTTTGCGACAGTTAAATTTTCTCCTATAACGGTCCCGTCTTCGAGGACTGTAAACGATTGATTGGAATTCCGAGTCAGCCACCTTAATTAGGCTATATTAGACCGCTTGAAGTTGCTTTCTTCGCTGGCTGAAATATCGGGAAAACGCGTTTGCGGCAGTTAAATTTTCAAAATTTACTCCTAACGGTCCCGTCTTCGAGGACTGTAAACGATTGATTGGAATTCCGGGTCAGCCACCTTAATTAGGCTATATTAGACCACTTTGAAGTTGCTTTGTTCAACGGCTGCAATAGCAGGAAAACGTGTTTGCAGCCGTCAAATATTCCAAAATTGTCTTTGTGGGGGAGGGGGGGTGTATACAAGGTCGCTGCTGTCTGTAAACCCGAAATTTTTTCGGGCATTTCGGGTTCTGCCCCCCTAACTGTCATCGAGCCCCTACGCCTATGGAGCTTATGACACTGATCTAACTTTCGTTATCATGAGACGCACTAGTGTAGTCGGGAAACTGTAATAATATAAATACAGCATAGATTATCATTATGCATTATCATATATTTCGTTATCATAGACACACAAGTGGTCACAAGACCAGTATCAGCTCATTGTTAGTAATTAGATATATGTAACAAAATGGCGGAGAAAGTCACACGTAGGGTGTGTAGCATTTGTTTGTGTGATTTCAAGAAGCCGAGGATAATTGATTGTCATCACAGTTTTTGTGAAGACTGTCTGGACAGCCATATCAAGACATCTACCATCGATAGTAGCTTTCCGTGTCCAGTATGTCGCCAGCAAATCAGTGCGCCGAAAGGGGGAGCGAAGGAATTCTCGATGAATTTTTATATTGATGATGCATCGGAGACGGATTGTAAACCGGAACCATGTGGAATGTGCAAGACGTCGAATACGTCACAGTTCAAATGTAAAGACTGTGATAGATATCTCTGCACATCCTGCATGATACCCTTCCACCGTGTATTGGTCATCATGTGGTCACCCTAGACGTCACAATTCGCGATGATGCAAAGCGAAAAGAGAAGAAGAACTGCCCGAAGCATTCCGACAGTTGTCTGGAATTTTACTGTCGAGATTGCAAGCAAGCTATTTGTGTGAAATGCTTAATGACAAGCCACAAGAATCATACGACGTCGGATATGGTCGACGTTTGGTCGGAGACAGTCAAAGAGCTAAAAGAAATCGGAGCGGTTTTTGGAGATATGATTGTCCAGCTCAAGGAGGATTCGGGGGTGATTAGTGATAACATAATAAAGATCCAATCGTATGTCGTCAAATCCTGTGAAAGGGTTGATCAACAAGTTCAGAAGGTTTGCACGGCTGCCCAAAAAGCGGGCGATGATCTTAAAACCCGATTGCACATTGCATTTAATGACGAGGAGGAAAAGATGAAGAAATTGCTGAAAGATACGGAGGACGTGACCAAAGAGCTGAGAATTAATGCCCAATGTGCTGCTGAGATGATACAAAATGAACAAATGATGGACGCTGTGGAAAGTCTCCCGTCTTTCAGATCAAAAGTGGATAAAATCAACTCAGTGGAACTTGACGTACCTGATTTAAGCTTTATCTCGTTCAAAGAAAAAAAAATCAACATGCCGCAACTTGGAACCATCATCGTTAACCCAGCAGTTACTTTTCATCATAACTTCTTTCTGAACCAGTTCAAGAAAAAGGGGAGGGGCGATGAAATAGAAAGCAGAGACATAAAAAAGGACGGTTTAGTTTGGTATTTAACAGTGGAGAAAGAATTAACGGGGATGTCATTTGGTATCGGCTTAGCAAATGAAGACATCAGATCCCTCTCTTGTAAATACACCCTGACGCTGACCAACAAACGTTACACGAAATCCGTTAAAATGGGTGGAAATGTCAACTTTAAAAAAGAGAACCCGAAGATTTATGTATCAAACACCGCTGTCACGTGGGCGCAGCTGTGTGACCCGAAACAAGGCTTTGTCGACTCCAGGAAGCGGTTCACCGTAAAGGCTTCTGTGTCTGTTAGAAATGTGCAGAAGTAACACTGGTCGCTATAATATAATCAGGGAATAGGTCGACGTTAGACATGCGCACACCAAACCAATTCACCGACCAATTCTCGTATCGCCTTATAAATCGATTTGTTACTGATTCACGCCAATAGGACGCTTTTTCATGGATTGTCTCCCTTACTGTTATTTATAAAAGGGTTGTGTTTCTTTTTTAATGTGCCGGCATTGATAGTTGGGCGTGGCCTTGTGGTCTAGAGTGTCGCGCTCCGAGCTCTGGTTAGCTGGTCACTTCTGGCTTGCTAACGTGTTTTCTCTATCCCTGGTGTGAGCGTAAATGGCTTGCAGATACGGGGCGCCTTCTCAGCCTCGTGAGTTTACTCCGGACACTCCAGTTTCCTCCCGCATATCAGCCAATTAGAAAAATGTGCGGACATTGAGATATCTTTTAGCGCATAGGAAATATTTCCCTACCCACCTCAACCCTCTTTTTCGTGGATAGTCGCCCTCATTGTAAGGTTTTTTTTCAGTTGACTGAAGTCTGTATCACTACAGGCCCGGGACTGCACAGCACAGTTGACACTGGCCCCCGAATCCCTTCACTTGGTCTGATATACGTTTGTTGTTAATTGCTATAAATGTCTGTGTATATTGTATGTGTCCTATCCGTGGGTTTGTCTTGTGTAATTGTTTATGTGTGGTGCGGTCCTCCTTCACTTACTAATGCTATCAGATAATATTATAATTGCCAATATTAAAAGTATGCTTGCTATAAAAATTATTTAAATATTATTTCATTGTATTTATTTTTTCTTCCTTTATTATGCAGTTTACCAAAATTTAGTAAAATATGCCGAAAGTATATGACTGTATCAGTTAGGGGGTGCCAGACGTACCTGGGCACTAAATAAGATCTATTTCTGAAGGCCACCTCCATATTTGATCAAAGGTCACGAGATGTAAACAGGGCTAGCGCTAACCCCAAACCCACAATCACGTGCCTTAACCTTATTGACATCTCAGCGACCTTGACGAATTCTGGAGGCGGCCTTAAGATATAGATCTAGCCATGGGAGCTATGAACCATTGCTACGCCACAGGCCCATATACATGTAAAACTGAAATTGTCGCACAATAAAGTGAAATGAAATGAAATGAGGTTTAATTAATGTCCTACTTTTCTACACCAACTGGGCTAATAAAGACAGTCATACAGTGTGCTATGAGGGAACCTCTCAAGAGTCATTTACGTGTATGGGATATTCGAACAACTAGACACTGTCCTTGTCAGGCCTTCGATCCTGCAACACTGACGAGGGGAAACCACGGAACTTTCTCCTCGGCCAACACCAAGCGCGAACCTGACACATCCTGGATAGAGTGTAGTTGTCTTGTGTCAGCAGTTAGGGCGATATCTAAGATTGGGGGGGGGGGGCGAGTGGTCTAACCTGTGCGCTTCGAGTGGTCTAACCCGTGGTTTTAGATGACCCTATGGACATCATAATGCCGTCTTTAGATGACCTTATGAGCATCACTATGCCTGTCTTTAGATGGCCGTATGAACATCATAATTTCTGTCTTTAGATAACCTTATGAACATCATAATTTCTGTCTTTAGATGACCTTATGAGCATCCTATGACTTTATGAGCATCCTAATGTCTGCCTTTAGATGACCTTATGAGCATCTTAATGTCTGTCTTTAGATGATCGTATGAGCATCATAATGTCTGTCTTTAGATGACCGCATGAACATCATAATGACTGTTCCTGAGCGCTGTGGCGTCTCTTCTAGCCATAGCTTGTACTTGACATGGAAGCCCAACTTTATGGTGGCTGTTAGCGGCCATTCAAATGAATCTAAATCGTCGACTTGTGAAGAAGGCGACAAGTCGACGAAATCAACCCGCCGACACGACAAAATAACCCGACGATCGTCGCCGTCATTTTGTCGTGTCGGCGGGTTGATTTTGTCGACTTGTCGCCTCGGAAGTCAAACTCGAGCTTGCGCATTTGCTGATTTATGGAAGCGTATTTTGGGTCACTACTTATTGAGATAATATCGCAACACATCGAACTAAAATATGTCAACTTCATAAGTTATATTACAAAAAAATCGACTTAATAAGTCGACTCGACGCATTAAATTCACCTCTAAACGACAAAAACTATGTCGATATGTTTACAATCATGCCAATAGTCGATTTGACTCTAAATCAACAAGTCATATTTTAATGCAATATATAGACTTAATAATGTCGCCGTTTTCAGTTACGTACCACATGCTTAATTTCATTGCCCGAGATTGCTTATTCATGAAAGTGCAGCCAATGATGGGGTTTAACGTCCACTCGACACAAAGTAGGTCATTTCGGGACTAACATATGGTTTAATTTTAGGGGTCTTTAGCAGTGGGAGGAAACCGGAGGACCCGGAGAAAACCCACTAGGTTGGACAGGCAACCCTACTCCTTGTCACGTACAACCGGGGATTCGAAACCACGCCAGTTGACTCAATGACTTGTGAAGAAGGCGACAAGTCGACGAAATCAACCCGCCGACACGACAAAATAACCCGACGATCGTCGCCTTCATTTTGTTGTGTCGGCGGGTTGATTTCGTCGACTTGTCGCCTTGTCGGGTTGTGAATAAGTCGATGGCGACAAGTCGACGAAATCAACCCGCCGACACAACAAAATGAAGGCGACGATCGTCGGGTTATTTTGTCGTGTCGGCGGGTTGATTTCGTCGACTTGTCGCCTTCTTCACAAGTCGACGATTTAGATTCATTTGAATGGCCGCTAACAGCCACCATACAACTTCGTAGGTTTTCTACTGGTTCTCCAGTTTCCTCCCAATGCTAATAGACACCTATTACTAGCAAGCTATTTGTTGAAATAAAATTGCTGGCCTCGAAAATCACCTAGTTGGTTGCACCCCACTTCTCTCACTGCCCCGCAAGTACTCAGGGGTAAAGGGAGGCAACCAAACTTTACCTGAAAGACTTGTTTTTCAACCACTCAATGCAAACTAAACGGTCGTTTCGGGGCTAACTGGTACAATCCTACTTCAATAATGCGCATGCATGTATGGTTTTGGAGGAAACCGGAGGACCGCGAGAAACCCCACGTGGTTTGGCATGTGCTCCTACTCCTTGTCACGTGGGAAGGTGATCCTACTCCTTGTCACGTACAAGTGTGGGATCGAAAAAAACCTGAAATTTGACAGCTGACCCTACTCCTTGTGACGTACATGTGTGGGAACGAAACCATAACACTTGCTCAATGACAGACCTTATGATCTCAAATGCACGCGTTAGACCATTCGATCACCACCTTAGGGCAACATTTGGAACTTACATGAATAAAACAGTTGTGTGGATATACTGAAAACTAGTTTTATTATACATAACGTTTCGAACCATATACTGGTACCGCTGTCATATAATCACGCGTAAATTCACATAATATTTATACTTCTTGTTCTGTTGGTCGAACCATTATTTCGTGAATCTGAAGAAAAAAAAATCCAAAAATATTCATATTCGTGTTGTCATTGTTATCAAACAAATACATAGATGGATTTTTTGTTATTTGGACGATCTCCCAATCTGTTATAAAGGTGCATTAAATTCAAATTAGTCACGTGGCACATTGAATCTACAATTTAATGTTTCCTATTGGTAGGATTGACTGACGTTACCATAGCAACATAGAAGAGACTGTCGTCCCCATAGCAAAGTAGAAACAACTGACGTTTTAATAGCAACAGAAGAGATAGGCGTGACTGACGTTCCCATGGTAAAGTAAAAGTGATTGACGTTCCCATGGCAAAGTAGAAGTGACTGACGTTCCTATTGCAAAGAAGAAGTGACTGGCGTGACGGACGTTCCCATAGCAAAGTAGAAGGGACTGGCGTTCTTATAACAAAAAAAGAAGTGACTGACATTCCCGTAGCAAAATAGATGTGATTGACGTACACATGTCAAAGTAGAAGTGACTGGCGTTACCACATCAAAGTAGAAGTAATTGACGTCCCCATTGCAAAGAAGAAGTGACTGGTGTGACTAACGTTTCCATAGGAAAGTAGACGGGACTGGCGTTCCTATAGCAAAATAGAAATGACTGACGTACGCATAGCAAAGTAGAAGTGACTGGCATTATCATAGCAAAGTAGAAGTGACTGACATTACCATAGCAAGGTACAATTGACTGACGTTTCCACAGGAAAGTAGAAGGGACTGGTGTTATCATAGCAAAGTAGAAGTGACTGACATTACCATAGCAAAGTATAATTGACTGGCGGCACACCCATGACAAACCGGTATCAGATGTAAGCATGCTCTGTCAGTAGCACAAAACCCACTAGATATAATGAGGAATATATAGGTTTACCTGAACATGAGGAGGTGAAGCTAAAACAAATTCTATCTCTTTAGCTATATCTTCTGGTTGTAACGCCTGAAAGGGTAAAAGGTGATGTTGTTTGTCTGTATCATATACATACTATAGGGAGTAAGACGTTGGTTCGCTAACCTGGAGGTCCCGTGTTGACTGAGCAAATTCATGTGGGTTTTCCGGCACGGCTCCCCCTTGCCAGTGGTATAGGACAGAGAGCCTGGCAAGGAACAATGAGTAGTCGTTCGGGTGCTACGAAAAACTGAAGTCTCGTGTACACATTGGATTGCACGTAAAAGAACCCTTGGCAGTTGGAATTCGATATAAGAGTAGATTGTAAAGCTGCTGTCGAGGCAAAATTTCCGTCTTCATTAGCCCAGTCGAGGCACAAAAGATAACGGGACAATAACACTCTTGCTGGCTTGAAAGCTCCAGAAAATAAATAATATCTCTATCTAAGTAGTTTAAGTGTCCTAACTGTTGTGTAAATTATCCATTACATCCTATTTTACTTGTCCAGAGGGTTCGAAAATATTTTTAAATCGAAGTTTCATTTGAAAAGGTTTACGTTAGACGTTTCAAACCATTAAGTTGAATTTTTCAAAATTTTTAAATAAGGTGTGTTAAGATGAAATTTGTATCATCAATTAATTGAAATATTCTAAAATAGTACAATTTGTTGACCAGAATAAAGATTGGGACATATTATTCAGTTACAACAAGTATGGTATTGAGCCTTTAAACGCCACTTCATTTCATTTCCATTTACCATTCAATCTGGGAGTATAGAAGAGTCCCCAATTGAATCATATAAACTAGACTTTTATTTTAAAAAAAAACACATTTCACCCAAATCATCTGACTAACCTGCCTACTAGCATACACTTCTTCAGCCGCAGCTTCATCTCCTAACATCGTTTTGGCAAAATTAGACTTGATCAATCCAGGACTTATACTCTGAAACAAATAGGATAGACTTGATCAAACCAGGACTGATACTCTAAAACAAATAGGATAAACTTGATCAACCCAGGTATTATACTCTAAAACTTATATGATAGACTTGATCAAACAAATTACTAAAATCTGGGGTCTGTTTCAAGAAGTTTTAACAAAGATAAAATCCAAATTTTAGTAATATGATTGGGTAATATTAGATTGATTTTAGTGCTTAACCAATCGAAATTGAAGTATCTACTAAAATTTGGATTTTATCTTTAGTTAAGATTTCGAGAAATATGGCCCAGAATTTTATCTTAGTTACAATTTCGTGAAACAAGCCCGGCCTATGCTCTAAAATCATAGACATACTGAATATGTCTATGGGGGTACTCGATTGAACATTCCGGAATTGAATTCTCTCAATCACAAAAATAGTGACAATCGAGTGAAAAGGTGGATTTCGGGCTACAACGCATGCGTCGACTGAATAAGTAAATATCTCAACCAACCATACAGTCGAAACATATTCGTTGTGTTTAATTACGTCACGATTCTACTCACACCACCTCCGTGGTCGGGACTGGCAGAACTGTGACAGGACTGTGACAGGACTGAATTCCGCGTTACTCGATTGCAATTCTATCAATTCGGGACGTTCTGGACTGTGAATCGAGCATCCCCTATGTCTAAAACAGATCGTAATAGACTTGATTAACCCAGGACAGATATTCCTGAACAGATAAAATAGACGTGATTAACTCAGGACTAATAATAGATAAAAATAGACTTGACTAAGCCAGGGCTAATACTATAAAACATGGTAAAGGCTAGCCAAGACCCATTTCAGACTTCGTCATAGGTCACGAGATGGAAATAGGATTAGGGCAAGGGTGTGTATTATAATGGTTTGTACTTATAAGCTTCAACTTGTTGTTTCTTACCGTAACCCGGATGTGTGATTTTATTCCTCGTAATTCCCATCTTATTCCATCTGTTAATGACGTCACAGCATATTTCGTGGCAGAATAAAAATGACTTCGTCCAACTCGATGGCCAGATAAACTGAAAAGAAGAAAACAAATTGGTCAAATACAGTACCGCAGTGGATTAGGGATTCGTCAACTCTTTGTAGAACACCAGGAATTCTGATGGCTAAGGGGTTTATTTTATTGAAGTTTTTAATATAGGGCTACTGAAGACTGACATGCCTCAAGCAGTGTCGGGTAAAATTTAACTCAGCACACAGCTTTGCATATGCTTAACCCCAGTAGGTACAGAACCCCTTTTCATCTCAGTTCATTTCCATCCAACGATGCTTTCCTTGCCGGGCCCTCAGTCCTGCACGGAAAAACTAACTATAAAATTACCTCGACCAACACCGGGCATTTATTTTAAATGTTTACACAATCACCATGTGTACCTGGGTATTACCACTCGGCAAACCTCAGCAGATTCCAGTACCCTACATCTAGCCTCGGCTGTGTGACGAGGTCCGCCATTGAAATTTCTTTCAAGTTCCCGGATTACCAACGGCGTTGCCCATGACGCCGCCTTTGAAGAATGTTTTATCATACAAAGATTTCAAAGTCTGAAACTTTTCTTTCTCTCAAGTTTATCCGATTTTAGTAAGACAAGGATAAGTTTGCACTGGAAATTCTACACACTCTTGGAACGACGCAATATTAAGAACTTCTTTCTCAAAGCGGCAAGTTTTCTTAATAAGTAAACCGGCGCTGGATCGCAATTGTATAGGCGTAGGTACATATCACTTACCATCATACAGCCGAGGCGAGATGTAGGGTACCGGAATCTGCCGAGCTTTGCCGAGTGGGGTATTACCTGTTTAAATTGATGACGTGTCCATCGTCAACACCGCGCTCTCTCATAGATTTCACAGATTCTTGTGTACATAGACACAACGCCATAACATTAACCTACAACATTCAAAAGAATCAAATGGAATGGGGTTTAAGCTTTTTCTTTTCTTCTCTACACCATCCGGGCTGGTCGGACATAGATCATGTCGTGTGCTAGGAGGGAAGATTATCTAGAGAAGACGGACATAGGCTGTACCTTGCAAGGCCCCTGTCCTGCCCCACTGACAAGCGGGAATCACGCAGGAAAATCTTGATGAACTTTATTGACCAACTTAGAGACCGAACACGGGACCTCCAGGTTACCGAGCCAACGTCTTACTCACTGAGCCATCGTGGCTCCCCTGGACACAAGAGAAGTGAGAAGAACCCGGATTACTCATTAAAGGACAATATTGGTGTCAGTCATTATAAAATATGTGATATTTTTTAATTGTTAGTTATTCTCTCACCGTCCCATATAATAACTTTTCAACTTCAACTGAATTATCAGTGAAATGAAATTCGATCGTTTGTCTGTTATCGCTCGTTACTTCAGTCAGTTATATACAAGGACAACTCGTGTTTGTCATGTTTGGCGTCACTTCCCGTTTCTTCACGTGCTTGTTACACATCTCCCGTATCAATGATCCCTGTGTTAAAATTATATTTGGAATGTATTTAACCAGTTCTATCACATATGTAATAATGACTGACACCAATATTGTCCTTTAAGTATCGGCGACAAATGATTTGGCAGGCGCAAACGGGGAAGGGGCGCCTTTATGCTTTAAAGACCACAATCGCACCATATGTATACCCAGCTTTAGGAAATATTTTGTCTATTCCAACTTTTATAATGAAATGAAATGGGGTTTAGTGAGTCAACACCTTACTCACTAAGCCATCGCGTCTCCCAAATTTGTATTTATAAAAAGCTGGACAAAATATTGTAAATACCTCCCACATATTTTTCCACTGTTGGCTGTCCCCATCTATTATAGGTGCATCTAGTGCCAAGCCAGCACTGTTAATACACACATCTACACCTCCCCATTTATTCTTAATTTCAACAAACATGGCCGCAATATCCTCTTCCTTTCTCAAATCACATCTTATAGGTAAAACTTCACCCCGTTCACACGACACACTTTCTGCTAAAGTCTGTTCAGAAAGAAAAAAAAACCGACTAAGTTTAATTATTGTGAATCTAGGATATTGTCGTATTGAATACATGATGAAATCTTAAAGAACTTTGGCAATAACGCTGTTCGGTGATTTTTTTCCGATTTGACTTTAAGGTTCGACTGGAAACATTTTGTAGTGGTTTAAAGGTGTTCAGCGAATGCTCGTACAATCAGTAGTCTAGAGTATTTTTCAACTCCATACAATTTTTGATCCGACTATAAAGCTTATGCATTCAAATACGATTAAATTTGTGTTTCGTAGCTAGGTTTGGCTCGTTGTCGGACTTTTTCAGTATAACATAAAGAGATTTAAACCTTGACATTTTTGCAAGTAAATTCGTTGGGGCTCATGTAGGGCGAGATTTACTCTCGCTGTAACCGCGTATTTGTGATAAAGCGGGGGTGGGGGTGCGGGGATCTAGTGGTCTAAATTGTCAAGTGGCGTGGTTAGATCTCAAGCGTGTATGTAAACAAGGAGTAGGGTCGACTGTCCAACCTCATAGGTTTTCTCCGGGTCGTCCTCCGTTATCCTCACTCTAGTAAAGATCCCTCTGCGCAAGCGAATTATAGAAATATAATTGGGCCATATATTAGTCCCGAAATGACCCGGTTGGTGTCGAGTTGGTGTTAATTTTTAACATTTATTTACTTTTACTTACTTTAAGCTTATCAAAACTTCTTGCACATGCAGCAACTTTCATTCCGTGAGTTACGAGTAATTTCACAGTTGCCTCCCCTACACGGCTGGAAGCACCAGTTACCAGCGCAACACGGCCTTCATACCTCTCCATTTTAACGCCGTAACCTTAATGTCACTGAAAATATAATATTTTTCAATAACATTCTCATCAATTTGACATTTAAAGATAGCATTGCCAGGCAACGGATATAAAACCACAAGCAGTTTTGAAGGCGGCGATTCATGCTGTACAATTCTTCGCTACAAAAACGTTGAAACTGATTTGTTTTCATTGTATACGGAGGGTCGCATGATCGAGTACCTTATATGTGCCCATTCTTCCAGGTCAGGGGCAGCAAGTCTGAAACTGAGTTTAGTCGTTCGGATGGACGAAAACCCGAGGTTAGACTTAATTGTTGTCCGGACAAAATTTCAACCGTATTATGGTCTGCCTTTATCCCGGTTGGAATATTTAAGATTTAAATATGAGCAGAGCAACACAAAACCAACTTCGTCCCTCCTATAGCCAATCTCCTTAAGATAGATTTAATGTGATGACGTTTATTTGTGTCTGCAAGATCCCAAAACCGTTTCCAGCAGTCATATTATATATATTCTGTAATCGATAATTTAAAATCACGAGAAGGTATTAAAAATTGGGACATAGGGAGATCTAAAACAGACTTGACAACTAAGTCTGCGTCATCATTCCTTTTAGATCAATATGACTGGGGAACCAGTAAGGAAGAGTGGCCTTGCTGATAAATAGGCTACGTATCATAGTATCAGACGATAAATGGCTTCCACTAATGGCCTATCTGAGAATAAGATGAATAGGACGCGACAGTAAAAAGCAAAAATCTGGACTAATCCACAAAGTGTGATGGTTATTTGAAATGTCGGCCTGCTTGTTTTACATTCACGCCAATGGGTAGTTACAGCCGCAGATTTCTTCAAGGTTACGAGATGTAAACAGGGCTAGCTCTACCCCAAGACCTAGCCCTAACTCTGTTTAAATCTCGTGACCTTGACGAAATCTGCAGGTGGCCTTAATAATTAGATCTGACCACTAGATCTACAGATCAGTGCCTCCGCCCTGCACGACTGACAGGTGGTAACCAGGCTGGAAAATACTTAATGGACCAGCACCATACTCACCCAGTCACTAAGACCGCCCGGGTGCAGATATCAGAGATCCTGGAATGGAACAGATATCAGAGATCCTGTCAAGGAGCAGATATCAGAGGTCCTGACAAGGAACGTCTAGTCGTTCAAATGGAATGGAAAACCGAGGTTCCGTGTAGATTAGCCTGGTTGGTGCATTTCATTTCCTTGTATACGTCTTCCAAATTACCTAAATGGCCCACGAACTAAACTCCAATATGTAAGGTATTATACTCACCTATTCCACTAGGAAACTGTTACCGTTGTATAAAGCACACAGCCGAATAAAGAGTTAAACGTCTATTCTACTAGCAAGTTGTAAACGTTGTTTAAAGCACACTGCTGATCAAAGAACTAAAAACCTGTTCCATTAGCAACTTAAGTTTAAAGCAGAAAACTGACAAAGAACGAACGTTGTTTAAATTAAACAGATAACATAGGAACTAAATGCTTTATGTGCAAAATATATGAATATGAATACTATTTAAAGTAGCTAAGTCTCTAACTCAATATCATCCAAAATCTTCAACACTGAAAACACGATTTATTTGTCAAATTAAATCAACATTCATGTTGTGATCTTACCGGGAAAAGATGGGCTTTTGATATCCAATATTTAAAACAAATTAAACATTTTACCATTGGTACACGAATCGTGTACCATAATGCGCTTCAGCCCCAGTTGTATCAAGAGACTCGAGCGACGAGGCTAGACACATTGCACAAAATCAAACGGCGTATGTAGACTGGAATAACCAGACGCTAGAAATATGCACTCGCTTGAAACTGCTGGCGTATTTCGCCGAACCTAACTGATTTGAAATTGGAGTAAAAACGGAAACCATTGAATGTAAATCAGTTTATATACATTCATATTACAGTATTATATGCGTTGCAATCCACTTTTGTCAATTTCTAGGTCCCAAATGTTAGCGATTTAGCTCCTTTAAATAGACAAGGTCATATTATTGTAGACATAACACTCAACGACATAGACTTGTCATTGATTTAAAAATATCCATAAAATATGTTTCACATGCACGCTGGCGAACTTACACCAGCTTGCCTATTTAAAAGAGAATAAACCATATTGATAAATTGCTTGTCTGTCGCAAAGGAAAGAAAGCGTCTATTCGTTCGGGTGGGAGTGGGACAAGAAAAATCGAGGTCCCCATGTGCACTCGTTTGAACACCCCCCGATATTTGAAAATTTAACGGTGAACTGGATATTTGAGACTAAGTCTTGGTTGCCAAGTACCGTTAAAAACGTACCTTAAAACGCGCATAACTTTGTCCAGAATAAAGTAATTTCAATGAAATTTTCAATATACATGTATTCATTTTTTTTATTATCTATTTCATTTACATTGCTTTGACGTAAGACGCCACTGTCCAAAACATTTGCTTTATATACTCTTCAAAAAAGTAAGGGGATATTCAGAAACAATTCAAAACTGCGGAAATGCACTGCTGTTTTTATTAGAGGTAACCAGAGTATGTTAATAACAGGCCAAATGCCTACACATGAACAGTTCATATGAGCGGCTTATCTGACGGCCCCATTTCACTCGCTAAGAGATACACTGTCAAAAGTTAAAATGGACGTTTTTGATTTTTATCTTAATAATGAGTAATTGCTCCACCAATCCTCAGACATTCAGCAACCGTTTAGGCTAATCGAAAAACCATTTTTGCCGACCAGTAAAGACAGTCAGAAATCTAGAATGCCTTTTTAATTTGATTTTGAACTGCACTGTTATTTTAGATATCTATTTTCAACATTTCAGGAAAACAAAACAAGAAATAGAACTGATTCAACATGGGTGTGGTATTGAAGATGATTGTGCTTCTAATAGTCGTTAGCGGGGGAACAGTTTAGCCATGGAGATTAAATGTTCAGATGAGATCGATGTTGGTACCACTATGAGGAATTGTTCAGATTCAAATATCGTTGAATTTCCCAGTCTTAGCCTACATCCTGGAATTGAGATAATGGATTTCAGCTTCAACAAGATTAATCATATTCCCCGAATTCACCAGAAAAGAACAAATAAAAAGTGTCAAGGAAATATCCAGAAACTTCATCTACAGCATAACAAAATCAAATCACTTGATAACGATACGTTTTATAATCTGAAATTTCTGAAATATCTCGATTTCATGAGTCGATCTTAATGTATATATATTCCATGTTCTTCCGAATTGAATCACCGTTAACATATCGTACAACCCATTGATGGTATTGAAACAATTTTCGTTGGAAACTTCTAGATTTGCTAGTTTGAGAACATTCGAGGTTGCTAATTGTCAGCTTGAGACTATAGAACCCCTGCTGAATCAGCTAATGTTGCTGAGAACTGTGAACCTAAGTCACAATAGTTTATCATCCTTAAATTCTGATTCCTTCAAGCATCTAAATTTCGTACGTAGACTGGATTTGAGTTACAATAGATTAACTGGCATCGCCAACCGTACATTTTACCCCCTGATGTCACTGCAACATCTAAATTTAGATTCAAATCAAATCTCCAAAATACAAGATTGTGGTTTTTATGGAGTACACCGTATGACTCATCTGTCGTTGAGAAATAACACACTGTTCAAGTTTCCCTTTGAGGCATTGAAACCTGCAATTGCTCTTCAAGAGTTGGATTATAAGTGCTAACTTTATTGCTTCTTTCGACAAATATTCGGGTAACGTTTTGAGAACAAACATACGACTATTTAGAATGGGGGATATGCCTAGACTTCGTAATAGCGGTCCTCACTCGATGACGGTCTTCCCCCATCTTAAATATTTGTATCTTGGAAATAATCATGCATTAAACAAAATTGCACCAGAGGCTTTCACAGGGAGTTTTAAAATTCTTCAATATGTTTATATAAATGACAATGGTTTAACGAGAATAGATAACTACATTTCCCTGGAGCAGCTTATTGGATTTAGATTGGTCTGGTAATCCATGGGACTGTGATTGTCATTTAAAGGACCTAAGTCCGTAACTCAAAATCCTCCAAAATCTTCGACATCGAAAACACGAATTATTGGTCAATTTAAATCAACATTGATGATGTAAACTTACCGGGAAAAGATGAGCTTCTGATATCCGATATTTAAGATAAAATATTTTTTTTAACATTGGTACACGAATCGTGTACCATAAGCGCTTCAGTCCCAGTTGTATTGAGAGACTCGAGGAACGAGCTAGACATATTGCACCAAATCAAATGAAGTTATGTAGACTAGAATAACTAGACGCTAGAAATTTGCACTCGATTGAGAATGCTAACTTATTTCGCCGAACATAACTGATTTGAAATTGGAGTAAAAACGGAAACCATTAAATGTAAATCAGTTTATATACATTCATATTACAGTATTATTTGCGTTGCGACCCACTTTTGTGAATTTCTAGGTCCCAAAGTGGGTGGTAACATTTCATTCACTCAATAAAACTTTAAACATGTATTATGCAAGAGCAAAATCTGCTTATTACAAGTCTTTCTTTGGGCCTGAAATGTTATCTAAATTATCAATTAGACATTAATTAACTTATTCAGACCATAATAAACTCTCGATGTCAAGGCTAGCCTTCGATGTTGGCTGGATTAGATTCCTGTATGCCGCTAACGGCCAGTGATAATTAAATTATAAAAAAAGTGGATAATCGAGACTATGCTGTTTATATTAATGATTTTAGTAATGATGACCAAGAATATGCAAACATTTCACCCGCTTCTTTCTCGGCTCATAGTGGATCAATTTGACTGAAATTTTCAGCAAATTACCTTTACACTATCTCGTTTTTAACTATTATAGCGAGTACTGCCATCTCTTTATCTTATCTCCCATAATGTATCTTTAAGGTAGGCCTAAGTCTTATGTGCTCTTTAATATTTTGGTCGGGTGTTCGATCCCTGCATTGGCCGAGAAAGTTCATCCAGATTTTCCGGCGTGGTTCTCCCTTGTCAGTGATGCAGGACGGAGGGGCTGACAAGGAAAGCTGTCTAGTCGTTCGGATGGGACGAAAAACCGAGGTCCCGTCTTCACATTGGCGTGCACGTAAAAGATCCCTTGGCAGTTGGAATTCGATATAAGAGTAGGGCGTAGTGCCGCTGTCCGGGCAAAATTTCCCTCATAGCACACTGTATGGCGTATGCCCGTCTTCATTAGCCCAGGTTAGGAGCAGAACAGTAGGACGTTAAACCCCATTTCATTTCATTTCATTTCTTTTTGTAAACAGTCCACAAGCCCAGTATACTAATTATGTCAAATACGTGACGCACCATTTGTTAAAGATACATTCCCGGGTACAAACTAATATTTTGGGGTTAGATCTGTTTCACATGGCCACCTGCGTGTAAACAGAGTTAGGCACGTGATTGTTGCCGAGAATTGTGGGTAAGGCTTAGGGTAAGACTTCGGGCTAGGTCTTGGGTGAGGGTTATGCGTTAGCAATAACGCTGTGTACATCTTGTGACCTATGAAGACATCTGTAGGTGGCCACGTGACATAGATCTAACCATATTTTAATCCCCCCCCCCCACCTACACTACCCTGGTACCCCTGTAGCCTTACACAATTTATTTCATCTTAAAGTTCATTATCCATAGAAAATGCTTTAGTAGAATGAAAAATTCACGTTCACCTTTATAGCATATTCCAGAAGCAATGGCCCGAGAAATCCCTCTCTGGCCATTGCTGGATTGATTTCTGATACTTGAGCTTTTGAGGGAGTGTGTCTATTCTTCCCGTGCAATCAAATCTATCCCAAGTACAGCAACTTTCCTAAAACTTTGGACAGTGATTTAAGGTATTAAAAACGGCGAAAGTATGTTCGTCTCCGAACAGCTAGTATTCTTTATTTTGTTTCCGTGTTAATAGCCTCGTTTGTCACGCAATTAATTTTTCTGCAATAGTTTGCTATGTACTGGTTAATTGGGCATAATAAAATCTACCGTAGCATTGATCTCTGTATTAAAATTATATTTGGAACGTATTGAACGAGTTCTATCACATTTGTGATAATTGCTGACGCCAATATTGTCCTTTAAGTGCGACCAGCTCTAATCTATGGAAACATTGCGAGGAGTATGCGTTTAAAGAGACAACAGATATTCTTTTGTATTTTGTTACTCAGCAACAATCAATTGTTCTCCTGTTTTCAGATGCCATACACCAGAAAAATTTAAAGGAAGAGATTTACTGGAGTTACATCCCCTGGATTTGAAATGCCTTCATCCATCAGTAATTGGGCTTGATGTGTTTGCTATTTCAATAACTGTTGAACGTTTGCTATTATTATTTATTATGAGGAGATACAAACCTAGATTTGGATGTTTTAAAAGAAATATCAGTGGATACAAGTCTCTCTATACAAATCAAAGGATAGATGAAGGAAGACAGTACAGACTTGGTGGTTGGATGGCCGAATGATTAGCGTG